TAATTTCACACCTATATATTTATTCAGAGAAAATGGAGACGTGTCCATGAAGAGATTTAAGCATGAATATTCACAGAAACTTTACATTCATAAAAACTCCAATCTGGAAACAAGCCAAGTCCATGAACAGGAGAATAGATAACCTGCGGTATATTTATAAAATGAATCATTTCTTGAAATGAGAAGAAACAACCTACTGATACACAATGAAGTGGATGAGTGTCAGAAACACCATGTTGATGGAAATAAGCCAGACACAAGAGCACAGACTTTATGACTCTTTACATCTGATTCTAAAACACAAGGAGTAGAGCAGTTACCTGGTATGTGCAAGATCCTGAGTTAGATCCCCAGCACTGAAAAAAAAAAAAAAACCACACAAATTAAAGGAAATTACCTGATATATATCAGGGAATTATATATATTAGCATTAAAAAAAGAAAGAGAAAATCTTGAATTTATCCAGGGGAGCAAAAAATAGACTAATAATAGACTAATAGGCAATGTGTCAACAGGGGCATGGAGGCAATTTGCTTTAAGGATGAATATAAAATAAAGACATTTTCAGATAAAGAGAAAATGAAAGAAAATACTAAAGGATATTCTTCAGGCAGAAGGAAAATAATCCCAGATGGCAGGCTAGAGATAGATAAAGGATTTAGAGCAACCAAAAGTCTACATTCATAGGTAAATCTAGATTAATATTGTATATGTGACAAAACAACCCTTTTTAGGATATAAAATATAGAGGAATTTCATGGGTTAAAAGCAGCTTAAACTGAATAAACCATTACACATGCATTGCTGGAAAAAGGAGAGAAGTACCAATTCACTTTAGTATGAACAACAAAGTTTTTCAGAATTATAAAAGATTATATAACTTCTAAACTGATAGAAAGAATAAAATAATAACAATGCTTAGTTCAAAAGTAGGCAAGAGAGATAAAAGAAGAACGTGAAATACCTGCAACAGAAAGAAAGCACATTGTTAAATATTTTTTAACTTCAGTACCTCTTGCTACAGTTCAAATGATGTGTCCCCTCCAAAATTCACATTGAACTTTTATTCCCAATGCACCAGTATTAAGAGGCATGAACTCTGGGAGGGGATTAGCACCTTTATAAAAGGGCTCAAGTTTGAAGAAAGCAATTTCTTGCCCTTCCATTTCTTGCACCAAGTGTGCACACAGAACAAGGTGCATCCTGGAAGCAGCATGTAGCCTTAGATGACATGGATCCTGTTGGCACTTTGGTCTTGTGTTTTTAACTTCAAATTCTAATTGTTCATTATTGGCATTTGGAGAACAATTGATATTTTCCTTTTTGTGAAGCTGTGGCTGTAACCCAGGACCTCACTCATGGCAGGCCGATGCTCTACCACTGAGCCACATCCCCAGCCCAACAATTGACTTCTGTATTTTAATCTTGTATCCTACAACTTTGTTGTAATTGCTTATTAATTCTAGAATTTCATTATTGTTGTTTCTGTGGGATTTTCAACATAGACAATCATGAGTTGTAATTATTCCTTCTCAATCAAGGAAATGCTCAATAAGTATTTCCTTTTCTTTTCTTATTGCATTAGCTAGGACATCCAGTACAATGTTGAAGAGGAATGGTGAGAGAAGACATCTTGCTTTCCCCCAACTTGTTTCCCCTTATTAGATAAAAGCTTCTAATTTCTATAATTCACATGTTAACTTTATTAACTTCAGGCCTTTTTTGGTGAGGGAATACTGGAGATTGGATCCAGGGGTGCTTAACCATTGACCCACATCCCCAGCCCTTTTTATTTTTATTTTGAGACAGTGTCTCACTAASTTGCTCAGGGCTTCACTAAAATGCTGAGGTTGGCCTTGAACTTGCAATCCTCCTGTCTCAGCCTCCCAACCTGCTGGGGTTACCGGTGTGCACCAACTCACCTAACAACTTTAGGCTTTTTATAGATGTTCTTTATGAAGCTGAGGAAGTTCTCTTTCAACACTACTTCATTAGGAGTTTTTTTAATGAATGCATATTTGATTCTGTCAAATGCTTTTTCTGTATGATCATATGATCATATGGTTTTTCCTCAGTCTATGATACTATGRATTACACTAATTGATTTTCAGATGTCAAGCGAGGCTTGCAAACCTGTAATAAATCTCACTTTGTCGTAGCTTGTAATTACTTTTATATACTCTTGGGTTTTATTTGAGTCTATATTTTTAAGAGTTTTATGTTTATGTTCATGAGATATATTGGTCTGTAGTGAAGTTTTTATATGATTTTTGTTATTAGGATAATAATAACTTTATAGGATGAATTAGGGAGCATTTATACTGCTTCTATTTTCTGGAAAAACTGTAGAGAATTAATATCATTTCCTATTTAAAAATTTGGTAGATTTCACAGATGGGTGTGGTGATACATGCTGTAAGCCCATCAACTCAGGAGGTTGAGGCAGGAGGATTGGAAGTTTGAGGCCAGCCTCAGCAACTTAACAAGACCATGTCTCAAAATAAAAAATTAAAAGGGCTAGGGATGTAGCTTAGTGATAAAGAACCCTGGGTTCAATCTCTGAGAAGTTCTCAGAAAAAATTGGTAGAATTCACCAGGGAACTCAAATGTCCTAGATTTCTTTTTTGGGACATTATTAATTATTTATTTAACTACTTTAATAGATATAGGTCTGTGTGTATTATTTATTTCTTCATGTGTGAATGTGRGTAGTTTGTATCTTTCAAGACATTGATTCACTTGATCTAAGTCACCAAATTCATGGGCTTGGAGATGAATCTAATTAACAGCGTCACTTTCTTCTTGGTTAGCCTGGCTAGGAGTTTATCAATTTTGTCGATCTTTTCTAAAAACCAGCTTTGGGGCTGGGGATTAGCTCAGTGGTAGAGCACATCCCTGGGTTTGATCTTCAGCACCACAAAAATAAATTAGTCAATTAATTGAAACCCAATTTAAAAAATAAAAACAAACTTTGCATTTCATTAGTTTACTCCACTGAAGTCCTCTTCTTAATTTCATTGGTTTCTGCCATAGTTTTTATCTATTTTCTTCTATTTGCTTTGGACCTACATTGTTCTTTCTTTCCTAAGATAGATGCCTAAGGGTACTTGCCGCAGTCTGGCTGGGCACAAATAACGGAGCCACCACAAAAACTTGTAGATTCCAACAGCAACTCTTTATTCTCGAACTCTCACCGACACTCTACATGCACATTCTGGGAAAATACACTCCCTCCACCGGGCTCTGCGTACCAATACTCTCAGAACCCCGTGAGAACTCAACGGGAACTCCGAAGGAGTGGGTGCTTGAGGCAGCAGGATCAGGATCCGCCCTAAACCTGGAGCCRCCCTATTCCCAGCAAGATCCATCCTAAACCTGGAGCCACCCTATTCCCAGCAGGATCCACCCTAAACCTGGAGCCACCCTAATCCCTGAGCAGGGTCACCTTTCAAACCAAAATGCCATGCAAAATACCATGTCATTCCTACTTGGCTATGGCAATGATGCTAAAAAAATATGTAATATTCCAACAGGTACTAAGAAAACAATTTTCTGAACAATTTACATTATCCTGAACAGAATTATTAAATATAATGAAAAGGAAAGGTGAAAGTAAACAAACAGATCTGTTAACCACCTTTAAAAACAATCCTTAACAGCTGTTTACCTAATTTAAAAAAGTAAACAAACAGATCTGTTAACCACCTTTAAAAACAATCCTTAACAGCTGTTTACCTAATTTAAATTAAACCATTTAAATCACGTGAATAAATAATAATAATAATTTGGATCCATTTTTTCATGAGCGCTCCTCATATATGATATATGGACATASGCACAYAMAGACATACAACACAAAACACAAGWGTGCACACAAACATACAACACATAAGACAATAGTAAAGGCCTTGTAGCTTTACMCAGGTGAAATCTCCATTGCAATGTTTAAAAACTCCACAGTCAAAAAATAAAACTGATCAGAAAAACATTAACCTAGGTTTGTATGAGCTCAAAAATAAAATAGAACTTTATGATGTGGAAAAATGCAATAATAAAATAGATATTGAAAAAAGCCACCAGACAAGCCCATTGGCCTTCTGGCCACTCATTCTCCCCATATTAGGTGGGGGCAGTTCCTCTAGATGCTGCAGGGTTTTCCGGGGACCCAGGAGTTCAGGCACTCACAGATCCTGTCTACAGACAGGATGAATAACAGGCACTCACACATGTCCTGAGATGAGCTGGACGGTGCCCCCCAAAAGATCTCCATCCAGAATCTCAGATTGTGAGAGGACTTATTTGGAGTAAGGGTCTTCACAAAAGGAAGGAAGTCAAGATGAGGTTCTCATGGATCAGAGCATCCTTGTGAGAAACAGAAAGAAGACAGACGTGGACACAGGGAAGGGCCACATGCAGGCAGGGTTGGAGGGATGCTACCACAGGCCGTGGCAGGCCAGGAGCCACCAGACGCTAAGATGAAAGATGGAAGGAAGGATTGTCCCCTAGATTGTACCCTGCCACCCCTAGAGTTCAGATGGAAAGACTGAGTTCAAGAGAAGGCTGCAGAGAGGCAGAAGAACTCTCTAGAACCCAGCCGCCCAGGCTTGTGAATCATTTCTCCTCTCCAAAACTCTGTTAGGTTTGGTGCCACTTGTGGTCCTTGTCGACCCACACAAAGATCAGAGTCATGCTCAGCCAGCAGGAAGTTTACAAACACTTCCTACTTTCCTCTTTGCCTCCCCATTTGGCAACATTAAGAGTTCAGTTTACACCCCGTGATTGTTCCAGAAAAAGCAAAAATTACTAAAGGCCATTGTGTCACATTTGCTCAATCCATGCTACCTGACACCCTACTTTCCCACTTGCCACCACCCGCAGGCTCCTCTCTCTCCTCCCTCCAGAGCCTGACTTTCGACACTCCTGACCAGTGTGGGATGAAGCAGTCAGATAAGAGCAAGACCCAGAAATCTGGTTTGCACCCAAGAGGTCTGCGGCTGAGCCAGCATTATGGTGTGGTCCATGATCTGGGCAGGTACGTGTCCACGGAAGGGAGAGTGGGCTGGACCTCAGGGGCCATGGACCCCTCAGGAGGTGTGCGTGGCCTGTGACTCCTTGCTACTGTCTGCCAGGAAGCAGGAGCACTCCAGAGAACTTTGGAAGGTCATTCCATCCATCCCCCTGCCTCTTGGCTTGTAGCGCCTTGATTACCTTTCCTGTGGGTGCTTCTCTTTCAGCTCAAGAGTTTCTGGGTTGCAAGGAGTGGATCCTCAACCTAGCAGAGGCCCCATAGCCTGCAGGGACAGAGGATCTGCCACCCCCAGCCCTTCCCCCAGGCTCTTTCTGCCCCAGGACAGGCTTTCTTCTTTCTTTCTGAATGTGACCCAGGAGCTTCTTAAATCCACATGRTCCTCCACTGAGGCTCTGGAGGAAGAACCTTCCATTGGCTTCTGGGGCGATTCCTAGCCTCCTGGTGTCTGGCCTGGGCAAAAGGATGGACACGGTGCCCTTGTGGGCCTTTTCAGAAAGGAGAAAGCTTTATTTGGGTGAAACCAGGCCCCCCTGACCACCTGTACCACCCCCGCCCCCAGCGTGTGGGGCAGTGAGAATGACCATGTGACCGCTGCTTTCTCTCTGCTCCAGGTGTGATGGCTCTGCTGATGACCCAGTGGGGTAAGTGGCACTTTTCTTAGGCCAGGCGTTGGCCCTCTCAGTCCCTTCCTGGATTCTGCTGCACCCCACCCTAGCCTCTACACACACACACCAAGAGCGCCTGCCAGATTTTTGAGGGACTGTGCTCCAATGCTCAGCCTTTATCCCCRACAGCCCTGCGGCTCCTTTTCCCAGAAGGGGTCTTCCCTCCTTACYGACTAACTGAACCCCTGCCCTCCATATCAGTTTAGTGCCTCCCCACCAACACTGAGCCCCTGGAGCTGAGGCACCCCGTCTTACCCACCCTGCCTCCTCAGCCTCTGAGTTCAGCAAGAATGACACACTTGCTCCTGTGTTTGTCAATGGCTCTAGAGTTTGGGAGAGGCAGAAGGGGACTCCTGTGTCACAGAAAAGAAGAGGAATTTTTAGCAACTCACACTCCCAGGTCTCCTTCCCATCCCACCCACTCCCTGCRCATCGGTAGCCCAGGAATCTGGCCCCAGACCCCCATCCTGAGACTGTTCCCCTTAAGCTGCTGGTGACATCAGATGCACATTTTCCCTCTTGGTCTTACAGGAGGGGACCAGCAGGGGCCACAGAAATAACAAGTATGGGGAGGTAGGAATGCTGGAGACCTCTCAAACAGTTGGATCCGAGCTGCTCTTGGGCTTTCCTGCACCATAACAAAAATAGCAGGACTTTGTGGCCGGGTGTGGTGGCGCATGCCTGTTGGCTGTTAGCTCCCGAGGCTGAGGCAGGAGGATCTCGAGTTCAAAGGCAGCCTTAGCAATTTAGCAAGGCTTTAAGCAACTCAGTGAGACCGTGTCTCTAAATAAAATACAAAATAGGGTTGGGGATGTGGCTCCGTGGTTGAGTGCCCCTGAGTTCAATCCCTGGGACCAAAAAAAAAAAAAAAGTAGGACTTTGTGTAGACTCGAGTTAATTAATGCAAAGCATCCTGAACGGAGCTCACTGGGTGCTTGTCTGGGGGTTCACATATGCGAACTCTTGGCCACACAGATGTCCGATGARGCACATTGTGTGTGAGGTACGATGGATGCCATCTCAGAAGGAAGCCAAGTTCCATGACCAATGACTCACAGAGCTGGGATTCAACCCAGGGCTGGCATCCCAGGGCCCTGCTCCTACCTGCCACACTTGATGGATTCTATCTACAAAAAGCCACACAGAGCATTCATTGTAGGAGAGCAGGATGGGCTGACAGCGTCTCCGGCTCCCTCCTTGTTGCTCCGGGGACGTGCTCTGTGGGTCAATCCCTTCCTTCTTCCTTTTGCTTGGGGGAATTCACCAATCCTCTTTCTAGATCATTGTAAGCGACACGCCCACTCTGTCACCAAGCTCCATTCCTGGATGACCTGTGTCAGGCCAGGGACCACCCAGCTCCTCTTCCTCCTCTTCCAGGGCCATCCTGTGTCCAGGATCGGGTCAGATCTTCATGCTCCCAGGGATCCAGTTGAGGCCTGAGCTTTCTCTCATAGTCACCTTGTACTCCACCCTCTCACAGGCCCCAGGGGGACTGGAGGGCGAGCTGAGAGGGACAAGGGAAATTCCTGGGTCTAAACATGGCTAGTGTGCTCCTTCCTGATCAAACTCACCATTCCRTCAAGTCCCTGACACAGAATGTCCCCCATACAAACCATATAACCCGGAGCTCAGGACAGGAAGGGACCTCAGAGTCATTTCAGAGAGGCCTGAACCCCAAGAAGAGATGCCCATTGGCAGATGCAGGAATGAAGACAAGCACCCCTTCCCTCGCCTATCCTTCCTTTCCTTCCCCTCCCTCTCCACCTCTCCCTCTCCTTTCCTTTTTATCTTCTTTTTTTTTTCTTTTTTAATATCTAGGGATTGAACCCAGAGGCACTTTACCATGAATTCTACTCCTAGTCCTTTTTTTTTTTTTTTTTTAAGAAAACTTTAAGTACCAAGGCTGGCCTCAAACTTGCAATCCTCCTGCCTCAGCCTCCTGAGCTGCTGGGATCACAAGCATGTGCCACCATGCCCAGCAGCACTCTTGCTTTCTGATGTCCTAGCCCATCCAGCATAGGGCTGGCCTCTGAGGTGGCCATCCCCACGAGACCTCACTGGGAACACAGACTCCCCTGCAAAGCCTTCCCACATCCCCCATTCTATGGGATGCCAGGGAGGAAAAACTGTCTTTTCTTAGATAAAATAAGTCATTAGTCCTTTCACAGTGATGTTTATAAATTTAGATTCTCTACCAGGGACATAAGTAAATGCAAATAGCTTTAATGCAACATTTAAAAATAAATAAATAAATAAACCCTGGCCTGTAACTGGGGCTTTCTCTCTGCTACTCCATGTATTTGCATTTTAACCAACACGCTGCAATATTCCAAACTGTGTTTGGTGAATTCTGCCTCCCTCCCTTGGGCAGATCAACATGCCCTGTTTAATTCCYTGTGGGCTGGACATCGGGACTGCCTGGGGCTACCTTCTGTGACATTTCAGGTCCTGGAGGGGAGAGTGTAAATGGGGGTAAGGAAGCCTGCCCACCAGTCCCCAGCCATGGGGACTTGGGCTCTGAGCCTGGGGACTTTCAGGGATGTCAGGGGTCAGGAGACTTGGGACTGACCAGTCACTGTGCCCTCTTAGATGCTTAGACTGGGATGAGTCTGAGCTCAGGAGTCTCAGCTTCCACACAGTGAGATGAGGATGGTGGCCATGGTCCTGTCCACTCAGGTGTCCTGAGAGCCAGAAACTGGCCTCTGAAAATGGCTTCCTAACTGTGAGGCGCTGCCCAAGCAAAAGCAGGCGCGTCTCTGCCAGGACCCTCACTCTGGGCGTGTGATAGGCAAGAGCACTGTTTGCTCCCGGGTGAGGGGAGAGCTCCTGTTCTCACAGGCCCTTCTGACAGTCATTTCTTGCCTTTGCCCCAATTGCTCAGGCTCTGCTGAAAAGCTGGTGTGCTACTTCACAAACTGGGCCCAGTACCGAGAGGGGGCGGCTCGTTTCTTGCCCAGGAATGTGGACCCCAACCTGTGCACCCACCTCATCTATGCCTTCGCTGGCATGAGCAGCCACCAGCTCAGCTCCGTAGAGTGGAATGACAAGACTCTCTACCAGGAGTTCAATGGCCTGAAGAAGATGTGAGCCGCAGGGGAAGAGGGGTGATGGGTGGTGAGGAGGGCAGATGCCTCCTCTCAGAGTCACCAACCTCCCCCATCACTGCTATAGAGCTACTGTGCGGCTTTGGGCAAGTCACATCACCTCTTTGGACTTTCCTGAACTTATATGGAAGAGGCGGGGGTGCCTTAGGGAACCCTAAAGGGCCTTCCAGCTTGGGTCCAAGTAGGAGCTGGTTTGAGAAACAGCTTCCCTCTCCCGGGCATTTCCTGCCTCTGGGGAATGCCCCGAAATCAATGGGTCCTTCAATCCAAGTTCACTTTACAAAGCTGCTCTGAGGACCTCTGATCACTTGTCTCCTGAATTCCTAGTGTCTCCCCAGTTAGATAGGAGGTTCTCCAAGTCACAAACAATGTCTGTCTCTGCCACCCACAGCTTTCCCACAGTACAGCCTCTGTGCATAGGGACTTATGCAACCCTTCTCCCCTCCCGGTCCGTCCCCACCCCATCGTCCCCACCAGGAAGCCCTGAAAGCTAGGGTGGTGGTGGGGAAGATTTTCACTTATCTCTTGTCTTTTCAGAAATCCCAAGCTCAAGACTCTGCTAGCCATCGGGGGCGGGAACTTTGGCACTCAGAAGTGAGTGGACTGTGGGCACCCCTGTGGGAGAGACTCTGTAGGGGGACCTGGTGCATTGGCCAAGAGAGCACCGATCAGGGAGTCAGGCCAGGCCAAAGTGTGTCCATGGTGAGGGGGGTTGAGCTTATAGGAATTGACTCTCCTTCTGAGTTCTTGGTGCCCCATTGGTAGGGCAGCAGACCGGGCTTAGCTACAGGTTGTCATCCACCCAGTCTTGCCAGAAGCATAGACTCTAAGACAGCCAGGAGGGTTCTGACCTTTCCGGGCCTCAGTCTTTCCTTCCCTGAAATGGGGAGAGAGGATGCCAGCTGACCCCAGACTGTGTGCAGAGTGTGTATTTCTGAGCTCTGATGTGGGATAGCTTATCCCACCTCTAGATATCAAAGGCAGTCCATGAGATGGGACTTGCATGCCAAATGATTGGCATTTCTGGGAAAATTTTGAAAATCTATGAAGATAATAGAAGACAATATTTGGAACTAGACTTTTTCTAGAAAATTCAGAATCTGGGGTTCCCAAAGCTGTAAACGGTCTTCCTAAAGCTTTTTTTGGATCATGAACCCTCTTGAGAATAAGATGAATGTTACAAGCCATCTTCCCCAGGTAATGCTAATACTGAGAGTTTTCATTGACACATGGGGTTTTCTTTTCTCCTCCCCCTCCCCCCGCCTTTTTTTTTTTGTACTAGGGATTGAACCCAGAGGCACTTAACCACTGAGCCACATCCCCAGCCCTTTTTAAATATTTTATTAGAGACAGGATTTCCCTAAGTTGCTTAGGGCCTCACTAAGTTCCTTAGGCTGGGTTTGAACTTGAGATCCTCATGCCTCAGCCTCCCAAGCTGCTGGGATTCCAGGCGTACGCCACCACACCTGGCCTACACACAGGGGTTTTCAATCCAGCGTCTCCAGGCATGTGGACCCCACCTAAAACATGCTATTAATTAAGCTAAATGCCAAATTAATAAAAGTGAATTTGAAAAGGATCAGTTACGAGGAACTTTAAGACCCTCATGAAGTTCATGGATTCCCTAAGGGGCTGCTGAGGAAGGAAGATGTGGAGAAGGGGCTCCTGGGGCGGCCTGGGGGTTTCAAAGAGCTCTGGACGGTCATAGTCACAGCACGAAGCACTCTACAAATGCCTGTTGGTTAGAAGAAAGGTGACCAGGTTAACCCGCCAGGGAACTTGGCTCACCTGGCTGCACTTCTCCCCTCCTCCGCACCTCAGCATGCCTCGTCTTCATGAGCTCTCGTGTATAGTAACATCTGTGTGCCCTAGTGACACACCAGTGTGGGGGTAGGAAGCACTTCACTGTCCCTTTCCCTTAACCACGCCTATAACCCCCCAGCAGAGCTCCCCGTGGCCCCTGAAGCAGCCTTCCCAGACCCCCTCCTGGCTTTAGGTACCAAAGCATCAGCATCCTGAGTGGTTTCACCCGAGGGAGATGGGGATCTCCTGTTTGGCCCACACCTCCGCCATCACCTCACAGGTTCACAGACATGGTGGCCACACCTAGCAATCGACAGACCTTTGTGGACTCAGCTATCAAGTTTCTGCGCACGTATGGCTTTGATGGYCTTGACCTTGACTGGGAGTTCCCAGGAAGCCGGGGGAGCCCTGCTGTGGACAAGGAACGCTTCACAGCCCTGGTCCAGGTATGGCTGGTGGGCAAGGGTCACCCAGCCTGTCAGGGGATGCAGAGAGGTGGTCCCCCAGCCCTGGAGTGCTGCTCTGGCTTCAGGGTCCSATGCTTCATGTATTTGCAGAGCTCAGACCGGCCCTGGGGTCAGTTTTCAGMCTCCCAGGAGTGAACACCCACAAGGGCCCTCAGGGCCTGCTGGGCTTACTCTGAGCTGTCCCTGCAGGACTTGGCCAAGGCCTTCCAGCAGGAAGCCTCGACTTCAGGGAAGGAACGACTCCTTTTGAGTGCAGCCGTCCCGGGAGGGCAAGGCATTATGGATGCTGGCTATGAGGTGGACAAAATCACTCGGTGAGTCTCAGGCAGGTTACTGGATACGGGGGTCCATATCTTCCTCTGCAAGATATGGCTTTGGGACACACAAGGTATTCTGGAAGGCTTTACTATCTGGGTCTGCTACCCCAYTATTCTAGGTCCTTCTGTTGAGATCTGTGCTTTCTTCCTGGGGACCTCAGTCTGAAAGTMAAAATGCCCCTGGGGGCGGGGGAGCAGAGAATGAGGCCTTTAAGCAAATTCAAAAGAATGAGCATCTGGCTCCYGGCTCCTCTGTGGGGCCCACAGCCCCCACAACCCCTGGGAGCCTGTTAGAAATGTGGGTTCTCAGGCCCACCCCTGCTGAGCAAGCATCTGCATTTTAGTGAGATTCCTGGGATTTTAATATGCATTAAAGTTTGAGAGACACCGAGCTAGACTCCCCTCCAAGATATCAAAAACGGCATCAATAGGGAATAGGGAGGGCCTGAGGGTGCTGAGGGGAGGAAGGAGAAGTTGCCAAGACTCCAGCCTCACAGTTAGAACAAAAATGGCCCCAGGGGYTAGGGGGAATGGTTGGGGAGTGCTACCTACAGAGCTGGGGGAGCTGCCACCCCCACCTCTGACCACAGGKCCCACCCCAGGTCATTGGCTGTGGGAGGAGAAGGAGAGAGGGACCCACCCTGATGCCTGTCTCACCYCCTGTGCCTGTTCCCACACCTCCTGCAGGAACTTGGATTTCATCAACCTTATGGCTTACGACTTCCATGGTTCTTGGGAGAAGGTCACAGGGCACAACAGCCCTCTCTTCAAGAGGCAGGGAGAGAGCGGTGCAGCCGCCACATTGAACGTGGTAAGTGGCCAGAGAGGGGAGGCAGGACTCCCCTGTGGGACAGGCCCGGTCCAGTGACCTTTGAACCTCAAGGTCCTGGTGGAAAATTAAAACAGGAAAACCAAGCAGAGTGCCAAGAAATCAGGACTGCTTGTTTGCTTGCTTTTTGTTTTTATTTTCATGTTCTCTGCCACTGCCAAGGGAAAACCTCCCTTCTGTGCAGCATCATGGTGGGTAGTAGGCTTTCTTTTTTATTTTTCCTATGCTGGGGATTGAACTCAGGGCTCTCTGCCACTGAGTACACCCCTAGCCCTTTTTAATTGTTATTTTGAGACAGGGTCCGACTAAATTGCCCAGGCTAGCCTCCAACGTGCCATCCCCCTGCCTTTCAGCTTTCCCGGAAGCTGGGATTGCAGGGGTGCACCACTGCTCTGGGCCCCACTCTGTATCCTAAAAGTCAAGAGTAGTCATATTATTTCTCTTTCTTAAAACACACAGGACCACAAAAATCTCAAAATGCCATTTACTTTTGGRGAGCCCACACCTCTGCTTCTCAGATGGAGCGGGACATTTTTGCCTATGGCTCTATCATGAAGCGCCCTCTGTGGGCTGGTGAGTCAGGTGTCCAGGTTTGACCCTGGGCCTGACCCTGAGTCTTGACCCATCTGGGAAACCATGTGAGTTTTGGAGGAAGCTGTCCCTCTAAGACACCCCCAGTGTGATGAGGAGACACACACAGGCAACTCCACTGGTACGGTGTTCTCTAGGTTGCAYGCCCTGTGTGGAGGCAGGTCGGGAGGCCCTTTTCTTCCTTCTATGCACCACACTGCGCATCTGGGGATTGCTTCTGGTCAGAGGGGTGATGTTTCCAAACTTGTGCCAAAGTACCATCTGCTTTAGCAGGGTCTGTCAAAGATAAACTACGTAGACCAATAAAAAGAAGTGCACGCCTAGAATCCCAGAGGCTCCGGAGGCTGAGTCAGGAGGATCAYGAGTTTGAAGCCAGCCTCAGCAACTTAGCGAGACCCTGTCTCAAAATAAAACATAAAAAAGGGCTGGGGATGTGATTCAGTGGTTAAGCACCCCTGGGTTCAATCCCCAGTATGGGAAGGAAGGAAGGAAGGAAGGATGGGAGGGAGGGAGGGAGTAAGGAAGGATCGATACAGTGAAACTGCCCCATTTCCTAAGGGCTGAGGGTGCAGGTAATGAGACCTGAGTCACCTAGAGCAGCTTCTTTGGGAACGTGAGCTGTAAGGAAAGAATCTTCACCAGTCATTTACCCAGTGTGCTTCCATCTGGAACCTGCTCCTGTCACAGGCCCAGGGTCTGACATCTAGTAATTCATGATCCAGGGACAGTCTTGTTCAGAGGTGAGTGAGGAGGCTGCCTACACCATTGATCTATTTGGACATCCAAGTGCCAGCCATTGTCCTTGGCCCCGGGGAGGCAGAGATAAGTAAATAGCCCCAGTTCCCTGCTCTTGSGCTCAGGTGGAACTCACAGCTTGAGTAATAATGACGACCGTGCTGGCTCCCCTGTCCTGCTCTGTCCTTGACCTTGCCCCTGTGTTATACCCTTTAATTCACACAGTGCCCTTAGAGATGGCTGTTTTTATATTTCTATTTAAATAAATTGCTGGGGAAGGCAGGGAGGGGTCTCTGTCTTCTTTGTTCACTGACTACCCCAAGCATCTAGAGCAGAGCCCGGCCCACAGTGGGCCATCGATCAGTATTGAYGTGAGTGTCGTCTGGCTCCAGAGCCGTGCTCTTTGGCTCTCCTGCCACCCAGCTTCTTTCACGGGGCTGAGGGCCTGAGACAAGATCTGAAGTAGATGGTCAGGTTTGGAACACTGCTGTAGACCCTGGGGTCTCCAGCGGAGGAGTCCCTGCCTCCTGGCCCTCTCTGGGACGCACATTCCTAGACAAGAACCAGGCCAGAGGCAGAGGAGATTAATGGGCTTCTCCTTCTCCGCCACCAGGATGCCGCTGTACAACTGTGGCTGCAGAAGGGGACCCCCGCCAACAAACTGATTCTCGGCATGCCCACCTATGGACGATCCTTCACCCTGGCCTCCTCGTCAGACACTGGAGTGGGGGCCCCAGCCACAGGGCCTGGCGCTCCGGGCCCCTTCACTAAGGAAGGAGGGGTTCTGGCTTACTATGAGGTAGGAAGACTCAKAACTACCCTGAGAATTTGTGGGGGAGGGGCATGCCTGGGAACTAGAGGGCTGCTTCCCCCACAGTTTGAGTAAGGACACAGGCACAGAGAATTCTGGCCTGGTGAATTCTATCCTGTTCCCACCATCTTTGATTTATCCTTAAGTCCAAGTGCTAAAAGATGAAATTCATGCTTTCTAGAAGCTCCTATGTTCTCCAGACTTCCTCTGACAGGAGTTTTCCAATCTCTGGCCTCCTTCTTGGAGGGGAGGGCAGGCACCTGCCAGGTCTCCCTCCTSCGTCCCAGCACAGCCTTCTGTTCCCGCAGGTGTGCTCCTGGAAGGGGGTGCATAGAATYGAGGACCAGAAGGTGCCCTACGTCTTCCAGGACAACCAGTGGGTGGGTTTTGATGATGTGGAGAGTCTCAAAGCCAAGGTGAGGCCCAGCCCTGCTGGGAGGGGGGGATGTCCCGGGCAGACCCCAAGGCCTGTCAATAACATCATATGACAACATCCGGAACCTCTTCAAGGACGAATCTCCTTGTCAGTGTCCCAACATTTCACAAATCCCCATGGGATAGCATTTTGTACCTTGACCACCTATTGATTAAGAAAAGACACAATGAACAAATCACCCTACATGSATCAACTATCTTAAATGGATTTGTATTTTATTAAATACAAGCAAATTCTGCAGACACATGAAGAGGAGATATATGCATAATGAGGCCTATGATTKTATTCAGTCCATGGAAACATTTGGAGCATGTTCAAATCATGGGCCTTGGCTTACCTATAGGACCCCTTCCTCCTGCCCAACATGTCTCTCTCCAGCTACTGAAGAGGACACTGCTTGTCCGCATATCCCATGTCAATTATGGTGTAGAGTTGACAGTAGCAAATTCTTCTAGAAGTATAGACAGACAAAGTACTCTGGGAGATTCCAGGAGGGAGTGGGTCACAGATGGCAGAAGGGATGTGGTAGCAGGTGCTGGGAGACAAGTCCTGAAATATACAAGGTAGGCATTCTTGTGGGACATGGCTGAGACAGGAGGGGAGGTGGCTGGAGAGTGAGCTGGGGCCAGCAAGGGTTCAGACCAGCCCCCAACCACACTCCAGGGGTGAGCACCCTGTCCCCCCTGGCAGGGTGAGGGGATAGAAAAGCTCTCTCTTCTAGAGAGAAGAGCCATCCTATGCTCCTTCAGGAACCTCAGGGAGGGCAAAGGTATGAACTGGGAGGAAAACTCCATGCAGACTTTTCGGGAAGCTTAAGCGTTTTCTATGGTACCTGAACACATCACAACCAGGAGCTCAGCCCGAAATGACCAGGATGTTGAGACAGGGCCACCCACCATCACCACTCCTCACCCCTGCCCCCAGGCCCTCCCAGGCCATGCTTGTGCCCAACAGGGTCAGGTCTCAGCTAACCAGGCCGTCACCCCAGGGCCATCTCCAGAAACCCCCACTGCCCATAGGACTGAGGGTCCTGGGCGCCAAAGGCCCTGGGCTCTGGGGCTGGCCTGGCTGGCTCCTGCACTCCCATCTTCCSGGACGTAGGTCAGCTATCTGAAGCAGAAGGGACTGGGCGGGGCCATGGTCTGGACCCTGTCCTTGGATGACTTCGCGGGCTCCTTCTGCAACCAGGGCCGATACCCCCTCATCCAGACCCTGAGGCTGGAGCTGAGTGAGTAAGGGGCCGGGGGGCAGAGGGGGGATTCAGAGTGGGTTACAAACCCTCACATCTCAAACCACAGGGGCTGGGCCCTTCTGAGAAAATGACTGGGCCCCAACATTGTGATTTTGCATAGTTCATGCAACCCTGGAGCTGAGGAGACAGTTGGAAGGATTTTCTTTTTGCACTCTCTCTCCTCTTCCTCTTCCTCTTCCTCTTCCTCTTCCTCTTCCTCTTCCTTGCTGTGGCAACTCCTGGCAGGGTGTTGTGACGGGGCTTCCCTCCACAGGCCCTCAAGAGGGCCCTTGTTCTTCTTTTGTCAAGAGGAAAGTCTGTGCCCAGCTGCTGTGTGGGACCCCCGGAACCCCTTGTCAGTATACAGTTGGCCTTTGCAGTGGTATATGGCCGTTGAGTGCCATTACATGTGCAGCCCAGGTGTGGTCTGTTGAGCTGTGCCCAGCTCAAGGTGCAGCTGTGCTCCACCTGTGGGGTGTGGGGTGTTGTGTTCCTATAGTGGCTGCCTGTGTGCTCCACCCGTGGGGTGTGGGGTGTTGGGTTCCTATAGCGGCTGCCTGTGTGCTCCGCMTGTGGGTTTGAGATTTTTTGACTGAACCTTAGCTGAGTTTCATTGTCTTCTTCCCAGGTCTTCCATATGTGTCTCCAAGGTCCCTAGAGCCTGGAGTTCCTGCACCAGGTCATCCCTCTGAACCTGAGCAGAGCCCCAGCCCTGGAAAAGACAACTTCTGCCAGGGCAAACCCAACGGGCTCTACCCCAACCCTCAGGATCCGTCCAGCTACTACAATTGTGCAGAGGGTTGGCTGTTCCAGCAAAGCTGCCCCCAAGGCCTGGTGTTCAGTGCCTCCTGCAAATGCTGCACCTGGAAATGAGTCCCTAGGACCCGTCCAATGYCATGCCCAAGCTGGGGCCCGGGATCACGCCTCGCTGTCTTTCTTAGGGCCTCCCTGTGGTCTTTCCGTAACCAGGCTTCCTGCTGACTGCCTTTTCTTTTCCCTGTGACTTCTGGATTGCGTCTTTTACTTGAAAAATAAATATCTAATTTGTAGCCCTCTCTCCCCAGATGTGGTGACTCAAAGTGGCTCTTAAAGCCCACTGTTGATTCAAAAACTGCCCTGGGAAGGCCAGTAGGGAGGGTGGCATAAGGCAAGCACAGGTCAGAACAAGGTGGGAAGGCAGTCCGTTTAGGATGTGTGAACTCCTATATATCAGGTCTCACCTCCATGAACCCACCTTCAGTTACCCCGTTACTGGAGCCTAGCCAGAGGCTGCTAGGGTCCCAACTAACTGGATTCGGTCACCTACCTACATCAGAAATGAGAGAGAAAAATATAAAAAGGAAAGATGAATTTAATCACAGTTTGGTTCAAAACTGGGAATACAACTAATATGGCTTGGCTGTCCTACAGAAACATTTTAATTTATGAGAACAAAAAGTCAGGAAATATACATATGTAGATTCAGCCGGKCTCAGAAGTCTTTGGAGAAAGGCACTTTTTCTGCTGACCTTCACTAGGGTGTTATTCCCAAGATAAACACTAGATGGCAGAAGAGAAGAGCGTTTTGCAGCTTAGGTGCTCTGCTTGCAGTCGCTTGGCATAGAGGACGAATTGACTCCCAGGACCAAGTGCTGGCTTTGAAATAAAGCCTGTGGGGGGCCCTTCACATGTCTCATCTCACCTACTGCTCCCATTCGTTAGATGACACCGGAGTAATTATTTTCCTTACCGTGTAGGTATTTAACTGTAGGTGTTTAACTGTAGACTGATTCTAACYTGCTCTGAATCCAGAACAGAGCCCTCAAAGGGGCCAAGACAGGCCAGAAGAGCATGCGCACACAGCATCACTGAGGAAAGAGTAATCTAAATATCCCTTGTATCTTTGGGTTGCACCTTGGTAGTTCTATTTGAAGAAAAATTGCACATAACCTAATAGTCCAGCCTGTCACTCTCAAAGCTGGTTTTGGGGTGAGGCACAGGTGCACAGCTGAGACAGGGAAGTGACCAGGTCCCTCCCTTGAGTGCRCTCAGCACTAGATGGCCCTGACAAGACCTTCTCCACTCCTCTGCCCTGCCCTTCTGCTGGCCAGAGCAGGTTTTTCACACCCATTCCCATCCTCTGCATTCTCAACCAGAAGGGAACAGATCACATCTACATCCCAGTAAGAGCTGTCTAGCTGTTCCCAGTAAAGTCCAGGGGAGGGTTTCTTTATGGGGAGTGCCTGAGCCCAGGGGGCACAGGGGAGACTTCTGGCTGATGGAGCCCTGTGGCTCTAGGCAGAGAAATCCACTACTGTCAGTTGGGGCCGTCCTCCTCCCAGGGTGGCCGTGAGGACTGAAGGAGTACTATATGCCTGACGGGTGGCCAGCACTCCCTCTTTGCCTCTTGGCCCTTCCCTTGCCTTCTATGAGCTGGATAAGTCAAGATTCTAGCATAGTCTAGCAGAATGAGGCCTCTACAATTGTCCAGTTAGCCAAAGTCCTCCTGAATACTGACTCTTGCATCTGCTCCAGTTTTATCTTCAGGAAGTCTTGTCCACAGCCCCTGCGCCTCCCCAAACTCACAGTCCTCAGCTGGTCACCTTTCTTCTAGATGTGGCTTCTCCCTGGATTCTCCACTTCCTGACTTAAGTACTTATCTCCTGCCTCCTCCCGTCCAGCCTGCACACTGCAACCAGCTGACTCTTTCTAAATTAGGGATTCAGTCCTGTCACTTTCCTTGCTTAAAAACTACCAACGGGGCTGGAGATGTGGCTCAGCGGTAGCGCGCTCGCCTGGCATGCATGCGGCCCGGGTTCGATCCTCAGCACCACATACAAACAAAGATGTTGTGTCTGCCGAGAACTAAAAAATAAATATTAAAAATTCTCTCTCTCTCTAAAAAAAAAAAAAAAAAAAAAAAACTACCAACGGCTTCCCCCCCACCCAAAGAATAAAGTTCCTACGTCTCCTGTCATCCCCATCCCAATGTGGTCCCCTGGTGCCCCAGCTATCAGCATGGAGCTCAGCCACTCTGACTCCTAATGTGGAACCCCCAGTTGCTGCTGTCACCCTGTTAGCTCAGGCCCACCTCATTTCTTGAATGAATCCTCCTGAGATAGGAACAATGACTGCGCCCCCAAAGCCATCTGTGCTAGACTGCATCCCTTCTGCCTCCAACATGGCCTCTGGGCCCCAAGAGTTCTCTGGGTCTTCCTGTTCTAGTTCAGTCCCCTCAGCACAGACCAAGTGTCTGTGACATGCCAGCCTGATGTTTGGTGGACACAGCTGGACAAGAGTCAGCRGCTCTGCTTTCCTGGGGCTGCCATGCTATAGAGGGGGGACACCCACAGTAAACAGGTAAAAAGTGAAAAAGGGGGGTGGGGGAACCGTGGCACACTGTGCCTTGAAAGCACCCTCAATGAGGGTCCCTCCTGCAGTCCAGTGCCTGTGATCATAGCTCCATGCCTGTCTCCCAGAGCATATCTGTCCCCAGTCCCTCAGGTCAACAGTCACCTTGATTCCCACCTGATCAGTGGCCTTTTAGTAATAGCAACTGAGGTCAGGGTTCCTAGGTCACTGCTCCTGGCCAGTGTGACCTCGCCTTCAGAGTCAGCTTTTGGTGACTGCTCTGCTCTGGTGCCCAGGGCTCTGCATGGTCCGCTCCTTATCTGCTCCAGGCTGCTGCCTGGAAACCACCATGCATTGTAGCCATAACCTGGGTGGTGGGCGTGTCCCAGCGGGTGCCATGCCTTGCTTGAGCATCTGCCTTTCCTGTTCTTCTTTTCCACACCAGACTTCTTCTAGTCCCTTCAAAAAATCAGCTCACGGGTTGCCTCCTACAGGACACATCCCCACATGCCCTGGACTTCAACGGCTTCTTCACCTGCAGCACTGGGCCAGCCCATTTGCTTCTGCAGTTATCTGGGTGCAGGCTACAATCTTCCCCCTAGTTCCAAGCTCCTAAGGGCAAGGACAACATCTTAGTTGGTTTTTTTCCTCTCCATGACTCATTTGAGACTCAATAAAAATGGAACCATTCCCTTTCTGATTTTCTTCTTCTTCTGTCCTCAGGTGCAGAAATTGGTTCTGTCTCCAGGGTAGAGAATTTCCAAACTTAAGTACTTATCTCATTTTGTGAGAAGATTACTACTTTCCCAAGCCTTTCTATTGAATATCATTTGCCCTCTTAATGTTAATGTCCAGTCATTAGGAAATTAACATTTCTTGCATGACCAGGGACCATACTAGCATCATTTGGCATGCAATAAATATTTGCTGAGTGAGTGGTCAATGAGTGAACCCATGTGATTTAATCCTCTGAGTCCCTCCAAAGTAAGTATCATGATCTCATTTCCCTCCAGTTAAATGGGCAATATCTGGCAAAGCAGGATTGAGAGGCTGATGTGGATGAGACCCATGCCCAGAGCCCCTTCCAGAACACTGCAGGCTTTTCCTCGCTGAGTTAAGGCTGTGTTCATTTTATTTATCTCCTCAGACCATGTATATTGGGTATTTCTGCTGGGCCTGGCCACGCCTCAGTGTGCACATTAACAAGTCCTTGACGTCAGTCCTGTGGGATCAAACACGCAGAAACCAAGCCAGCAGTGGAGCAGGGCTGCAGGGCCCCCATGGTCTCCATTACTCTCCCCGCCCCCTCCTTGCACCCTCCTATGCCACAGGTCTTGTTCTCTATAACATCTAATTTCATAGTTTGGCCATGAAATTTAATAATGCTTAAACCAGTAAGCATTTCCTGAGCATCTGCCATGTTCCAGGAGCTATGCTGGGCCAGAATAGATGGCACAGATGAATCCAGCCTCGCCGCCGTTCCAGCTGCTGGTGGGGCACTCCAGTCCTGGCATCGCCAAGGGTCAGGGAGGTGGCCCTGAGGGAGGGGGAGGGGGCTTCCTCACGAACACTCGGGAGCTGCAGGCTCATGAGGATAATTTAAATTCTCTACATATAGGGCGCCCCTTTGCTTCTAGCTGGTGTGGGTTTCTCACTCCCCTTTATTAAGCTTGGGCT